ATACTAGTGTATTAAATGTAATGTAATTCTTAAACTCGCAAGGTTTGGTGAAAATAGTCTGCTGAACCTCACCACAGAGATTCCATGCGACAAATTATTTCAAAGGAACAGACTGAGTTGAAGTTGTAATTCTTAAAATTGCAAAGATGTGTTTTAAATCAGTCTTTAAAAGACTGATTTACTGTCAACTTAAAAAGTGAAGGATTTGTTCTATAAACTTGTTTTGGAGAATTACAGTAAAGCATTAGTTACAGAGGATGTTCCTTAGCATGAGATTCTATCACTCCAAAAGTTTCTCAAAAATGGAACAAAATTCTTTCTATATTTTATAAACACATGCACATGTATAAAAAGATAAAACAAAATTTAAAAAATTAAATAATAATAATATAATAATAACAACAACAACAACAAAGGAGAGATCAGCCTAATGTGGGGCGTAAAAGCACAGGTCGTCTCAATTGTTATCGAAACTCTGGGATTTGTTCTCCAAATTTGTGTAATAACTTACACAGCCACAGGTCTGGATTAACTCCCAAGTCATTCATGACTGGGAAGTGGAAGACATTGGTTTATTGGGAACAGCCCTCATTATGCGCAAAGTATTGTAGAGGCACTGACAGTCCCTAGATCTGTTCCTTAGGAAGCTGGTTGCAATCTGGAGTAGATTTTATAACCAACTGACTAATAACATCTTTAGGTGTGAATTAGAGGAATTATCATATTAATAATAATTTGGAATAATTGTTGTTCCTGCTTTTCTTTTTCAACCAACAAATTACAAAAGTTCATTTTTATAAGTTCTCAATGAAGAAATATTAGATACTCTTGAATTAAGATCTAAAAAAATATATGAATGTAAATGTTGAGTTGTAAATTTTCTTCAAATATGAACGGTTTTCCGGTCATTAAGAAAATATGACTTACTCTCAAACTACTTAAAACAAACAATTCTAATTGTTGCCTACAATATTGTAGGAGATAGCTGAATTTACAAAAGCTGGGCATGTTTAATGCAGTTCTCATAGATTCTCAAAAACACAAAAACAAGTAAGCTTAGAGTGCAAATTCATAAGATAACGACATTTTTTTGGCAATTGCTGCACTTGAAATTTTAGACAATTCTTAAAATGGCTAGTGATGCTTTTACTAGAAATTAAAATAAAGTGGAAAATAATCACTGAAAAAAAACACTTATCCTTGAGAATCATTGTTTGAATCAATGTTGAGATTTTAACATTCCACAAGGCAACAAATCAAAATTTTAAGATTTGCGATATTGCTGCTTTAAAGTTTAATATAATTTTGAAAATGTCAGTTACATCCCTTGAATTTGAAATGTATGGCACAACAGTACAAAATTAATAATAATTTTGAAATTCAAGAGATTTAACTGATATTGTTATAGAGCAAAGTTAAATATTAAAACATTGTCACAAAACATAGAATTATGAGTTGTTTCCTTTTGAAACCGAGCAATTAATTTGGTAAGATCTGAAAAACCTCATAATTGAGATTAATTCAGACAAACATGTAATTAGAGGAACTAAAATGTACAACTAGTATTCTTAGTAAATCTAAGTTTAGTGTTTTACTTGAAGCCAACATTTATTCTCATTAATAAAAATAAGAATAAATACAATCTTATTTAAAATCTTCAGAATAGAATGTTCTTAACTGAGATCCATGATAAGGATTATTTTGTGTCCCGTACAAAAGGGCTTTCCCAAATTGTTAAGAACTCAAACTAGTATTTAGAAGATATCTGAATGTAATTCAGTTGCAAACACTAGCATGTTCAGTGCACACAATTATTCAGAAACAAATGTTCACCACTTCAGCCATTATAAAAGATTACGACAGTCCAAAAAAGATACACATTACAAAACTTGTGAAGAAACTCAAATGCAGGGGTTAATGTTATGACACATTTAGATCTTATAAGTATCTCAATGCATATGACCAATGTTGCAACCCAGATACTTCTTGGAGGAGAATATAGATGTAGTATCTAGCTGACTTGATGTTTACTTATAAAGAAAATTTCATGTAGGCTGAATTTAAATTTTATTTTTACTGGTGGATTTACAATTTACAACGTATTCAACTGAGAATTTAATGAGTTTTGTTACAGTAGAAAATGAGTAACAACTATATCCATGAAAATTTCATTGGCATTGAGAGGAGGATGGTGAAGCCCCATGCACTACCCATCCCCTTAGTCGTGCCACTGCAAATCAAGAACTATTAATAAGTTGATTAAGTTATTTAAAAGTAGAAACATACCTGAATTTCTGTAAGCAATGTAATTACTTTTTCTGAAATAACCTCAACTGTGTACATTGTTGCATCACTCACTACTTCTGATGGTACAATGTATGTCATTGGAGTATTACTTTTCTTCTGACTAGGTGTTTGATATGCTTTTTGCAATGTCAAGTTTTTATCGTATGTCCATGCTATACCCCATCTGGTAGTTTTGCCTTGACAAAATCTAGTCTCAGTCAAGCTTGCAACATTCAATTTTGTCAGTTCTAATTTCAATACAGCTAAGCTTGATTTGTGTCCAATCATAGTTGTATAAATCCTACAATATAATTCCACAATGAAACAAAGCTGTTTAAGAAAAGTATTCATATTATCAATGTATCAACCACATCTATTAAGAATTCTTTTACTTGATTTTCTGCCCAAGTTCTTTACTCTCATCCATCATTTTTAAAATGAAAGCAACTTCCCCTCCTGGAGCTACTAATTCTTTTAAGTCTCCTGTGATACCATTATGAGGAGGAGGTCGACATGGTGAACGTGATTTGCTGGTAAAATCAAGATCATCTTCACTACTGAAGAATGGGGGGTTACACATACTAAATGTGTAATTTTTATCTTCTTCCAGGATATTGGTGAGAAGCTTACTGCCTTCCACTAGTTTAACTGAAATTAGAGGGTCATAAATAATTAAATATTAAAAGAAAAAAAACAATGATGAAGTTTTTACTAACCTGTTATTAAATGCTGCAAATTATTGGCAGTCACATTTGCTTCAGCAATTTTAAAGCTTTCATTATCAACTTCTGTTGCCATCATACTCCAATTATTTTGTTTTGCTGCCAGCAGAGGATAAATGCACGATGCTCCAGTTCCTGTCAATGACATATTCTCTGACAAACTGTAATACATAAATTTTTGACATTTATCCCATACAAAAATATTACTTTTTCTCTTCAATATATGATACTAACCAATATCTATTCCTTTAACTGATGCAAAATCTGATCTTTGAATGCCAACAGCATCTAACAAATCTTCGATCCATAATAAATAATTCAAACGAAGTGGTAAAGTGGGCACCAAACGGGTTAGTGGTATATTCACATTTAAATCAAAATCTTTAAGAAGAAGTGTTTGAGTTAACGCTCTCAAAGCTTCAGGATCCTTAAAATCAAGGGTTATTTTTCCAGATATATCCTGAAAACAAAAAATTCTCATTTTGTAATTTAGAAATCATAAATTTAAAAAAATTATAGACATTGCTTAAACAAAACATACTGGCTTCGCAAATTTACGAAATTCGGGATACTTTATAGCCATGTCTTTGAAACTGGGTGGATGTTTGTAAATGTTTCTAGGGTGCATAAATTTATTCTGCGACATGATTAAAGTGTTCAATGTTTCAATAACAAGTGTCGTGGTTACCCACTTATTTCAGGGTCTAAGAACACTAATACGTATGGTAAAAAGTAAACAGTTTGAAATTATTAATTTTTAATGGCAATAGAGATGAACACAGTAAATATTACTCTCTGTTCATAAACATATCTCCATTATGTTGAATAACAATATTGTTACATTTCGATGGATCGTATCACATCATTGCACTCAATCAATTACTTAACTACCAATGCTTTTCTCACACATAAATCACACTATCACACTTGATTGACTGACGATTGCAAAACAAATTAGGTAACGTTGTTGATGATGGGCGTTAAGTTGGTAAAATATTTGTACAGTTGGTAATACATGTGCAACGAAGTGCGCACGCGCAGTAATGGTGACATTTCCCTATCCGGTTTTCGTTGATTCTCGCGTGATTCTCGTGAAACTCGAGAAACACCCGCAGTTTGCGCAAACGTACCCAAGAAGTGCCTGGAGATCATTGTTATTTGTGGGGAGTTGTGGTTTAATCCTTTCTTCTCATATTGCGACTTTGTGATTTATTGGTGAGTTTCATTATTACTTTTTGCTCTATCAGTAAGGGAACGTTTTACTGATAATTTTGCCATGACATGGTGGAAGCAAATTGCCTTGCTTAGGTGGTTAGTACGTAAACCGTCAAATATCATCAAAATGGCCGATACATGTCTAGACAAGAGTGCCTTGAAATGTTATTAGTATTTGTTTCTTTGTTCTTGATTACACGTAGTATATCATATTTAAATATAGAGTTATTTTAGTATGATTTGCGGACATGTAGGCGTTTGTCAACGTCGGTTTGCAGGGAGATCTCACGTCATCTCTAAGTGAAGGTTAACAAGAATTAACAAACATGACTGATCACAAAAGTTGTTTAAAATGGTCATATTACGAGCTACATTCGTATGCTCGTGTACAATTCATGGTTTCTGGGGAAAATTGCGTTTGTAAGAAGTATCATGGTAGTGGGCGTGTATTATTAATCAGACTCCCAGGTCTTCAGAAGAGTTCCATGTTAAAATTGAATTATACGACGATAATGTTTCACTAGGACGAAATACTAATGACCTTGATGTATATTGTTTTAGAGTATCGTTAAACACAAGTATGGATCAAAACAACTGGGCACTATTCGCGCTATCGATTTGCGTGAAGATCTGTAGGAAAATTTATTGTTGTTGCTTGTCATTCTCTGAATTCCTATATATAGACTCATAAAGAGGAAATTGGGTACAAAGTTTGATAAAGTATGTTGATGTGATTCTTTCTCCGGTCCCAGTTTGTGTATTTGATTTTGGTGTTGTAAAAGTTTCATGTACATCTTAAAATTATTTTGGTTCATTGATTCGATTTTTTTGTGTTCCCGAGTTGGATAAACATTGTGCGACTCGTCATAGAAGTAGAGTAAAATATTCACAACCCACGACTCCGTTTACACCATGGACCGTGTTAACGTCTAAATTTGTTGTCACGTCACTTTGTAGTGACACTCCCAGTGAACGGCCGTTGCTTCTGTTGACGGACGGCCCGCGGATGAGATCATTCAGCGTGCTTCTCCCAGTGACTCACCTCAGCCACGTGACCTGACATTGGAAGTATTTTGCTATGTACACTAAAAAACTGAGTTGAGACCGAACTTACGCAGTACATTTGGTTCTAGTTTTTGCTCAGAACGTACGTGTCGCATTATAATTTGAGAGGGTTGAGGTATTTGCCTTAATTTTGTTCCACACTTGAAATAAGTATAGTTTTCTTCTGTTTCTTGATTCATTGGGAAAATGTTTTTTATACAACGCAGAGTTAACGAGTGGCCGATGTTTTCGCTAAACTTTCATCTTGGTAGCAGAGATAAATAAGATTGAGAAGATCGGGCGATCTTATTATTACGTTCTAGTTTCTGCAATCGTTGGACCTTCGACCAAGCGGTCCAGTGAAGTCGTGTTCAGGATCTACAATTTGAACGGAAATTGTTTCTACGCTTACATTTCTGCTATAAATTGCACATTCATGTTTAGTTTCTAGAGTGTAGTAAATTATGAAGTTTCTAATTTTGGTTTGTATCTGTCAAGCAAGGTGCATGCTACTCTCAGGGGGTTTTCAATTTAGTATTTTCTTGGTTAGTCTGTTTTTTTCAACTTGCCAGTTTTCGCTTGAAGAAGAGACATTCGATGCTGTATGATCATTGTAATTGAACAAATGCCCCAAATGCTAAAAGCATATTTCAATGAAATAATAAAATGTGTGTGGGTGGCGTAGAGACTTGTATATCGTAGAAAAACTTATTTTTTCTTCATTAGACCAGGTAATTCCGCATTTTTGTCTGGTTGTAGTCAATTAGAATAGAGTAACTGTCGGCAATTTTTTTTAGTTCAGAGAGGAAGACAAGGTCCCCGTGTTTATAACGACACTCGACAGAGGTAGTTTACATAATTAAACAGAAACAAGAAATAAAGTACCCAGATTCCCGAGAGGAGTGTTCGATGTACCGAAGTTCGACCTGAGGATTCCCAGACCCCTGGACCGAAGTACCCAATTTCTTTTGGTTCGCGTGGAAAGCGTTTTGCATCTTATAAATGTGCGCAGTGGATATGGTGTGGTAAACGTCGACTGGTTTCCCCAGGGGTTCAGAGGGCACACCTGAAAGCGCATGGAGGGGGGACTGAAGTAACCGGTGTGTACTGTGGCGTGCGGGGACTAGGTGCGGCACAGGTGGTGGGCGGTGCAGCAGCACCTGCGAGCCAGGTCGTGAATGGTTGTCTGTGGGGCGGGGCAGGGCGGCCCCGGCGCCGGTGGATGTTCGTGTTAATTGGCGCGGGTGACGCCGCCGGGGCACGTGGCGCGAGGGCGTCCATCCGCCGACCGACCGTCGCCCGCCCACCCGCTGCAGCCGGTATTGATCAGCGGGGTCGGGACGTGCAGCCGCCCCAGAGCCAGACGCGCGCTGCTCCCCCGCCGCCCCCGCCCGGTGCTCTGCTGCTGTCGCCACCGCCGCGTGGTCCTCTTTCCGCGCGAACGAACTGGGAAGGTTCCCGAACTCTGTAGCCCTCTTTCTTATCTAGGGAAGTTTTGTTTGGGGATGGAGAAATCTCGATGGGAAAGGGGAGGCATATGATTCGGTGCTTTGGGAGCGGTGTTAAAAAATCGTGAAATGATTCGTGGAGGAAATATATTTTGCTGTAGTATTTAAATATTGAATATAGACATTTCATAGTACAGTGAACTGCAGTCATTTCTTTTTGTTTCAATTTGTAACATATTGGAGAGATCTAGATCTGCTTTACAAGAAGTATTTTGTGCAATTTTACTTTCACAATACTGCATTATACTATTTTTTTGTATTAAAGATGTTTCATTTTAGTTGGGAATGACTTTACACACATCTCGGCTCGAAAACCATGAAACCATAACCGATTTGGATTGGGGATGGTCGATTTCAATTTTCATTCACCCCGCCGATCTTGATGTTTATTATTAAATTATTTCAGTGGATATTCATTTTCGTTCCTCTTAAATTAAATTTTATCCATAAAGTTATTTGTGAGCAGATCTTTATTTAATATCATGATCGCGTTAATTGATCCTCTAATTTTATTTTCTAAAGCAACGTTCGGTTTGTGAAGATCATACTGATCCGCAAGATATTGAGCAGCTAAAAAATAAGAAAATAGACGCCTAACGTGAAGGAACTTTTACCATAAAGTGGGTAAGGTAAATCGTCGAGGGATGTTACACTTTTAATTTATTCTAAATACATATGTTCCATTTAATTCAATGCACTAACTAAAATATTAGACACTACAAAAAATAAACATGTTTTTATACAGATGTAATTAATAATAGATGTTTGACAACGAAAATTTATGGGAATGTTGGAAGTTAAGGAATAAACTAAACTCACGTGATAAGAAAAGTTGGTTTAGCATTTGTTCGTGTTAAATCACTTTCCATTAAGCGTGAATTATTGTCCGCACACGTCCGTAGCGATCTTACTGCGACGTCACCTGGTCGACGTTGGCACACGCATTGCGAAGTATTTCGTAGCATCCCCGAGGAGCCTCCGGCGCTCGTCACACCTGCCGACGCGGTCGCTACCCTCCCCGCAGTGATGGCTGCGGGCCTGACGCGAAGCCAACAGCTTGTGCGAGCGACGAGGTGCGGCAGTGCTGGCAGAAAACGTCGGCGGGTGATTGGGCGTCCCTTGCATGCGGCCGGAGCAGCGCTTTGTTTTACTTCGGGTATTTGTTGCGGCAGCGGTGCCGTTAGGTCGCCGGCGCGAGGTCGGGCGCTGAGCGCGGAGAGATCTAGGGCCAGATCCCGATCCGGATTTAAAGCCCCTCACCGACCAGGCGATGGCGAAGGCACTCAGGTGCACGCGCGTCGTTGGCATTCAGTTGGCGTCGAGTCGGCGTGAGAGGTTTGTTTATTGATAGACACCCCCACCCCACCCCACCCCGTCCCCGAGCCGATGACGCGCGCGTGTGAGCAGCTCTCTGCTGTGATTTTGATGGCGATGATGTGATGTTTTGACTCGTGGTTTCCTCGGCCGATCTAACGAACTTGCCCGAACGATGAGTAGTTCCATAGTTGATGGGATAATCAACTGCGGCTGCTAAGAAGCCACACGGATGGTGTCTGTCGAAAGAGATATACAGTACGCTCCAGTAACGCTGCCGTCTTGACTTCAATTTGTAATCCAGCTGATGTATGAACGACCCATGACTATTGCTATTTAACTCGTATAATAAGCTCAATATGGTATTGTGAAGCAATAGTTGTATCAGTCGATGCGCATGTGCAAAATTATTAAATTTGTTCAAAGAATTGGATACTCCGACCGAGGTTCGAACTCCAGCCTTCTGATTTACGCCGTTATTATTTTCTAATTTTTATAGAAAGACTTATAATAGTAGTATTTATTAAGTCTAAGATGATTTAATCAGTCTCTTGCTAGTTATTTTAGATAACTTCAGAAAGTTAAGTAGCGATTTATTTGGATTTCAGGTTTTGTGGCAGCACTGTTGTCAGCTTTACTTCATTAGCATTTGTTTATATAAATATGTAAAACATTTAAATCATTGTCTCGTACTGATTCCGTGATAACTGAAACCAATTCTTATAACGACGATTCTTGGCTCTGAAACGTGGAGATCAGACGTTGGCTGGGAGTTATCACCATCTCGAATTAGTTCGCATTCTCCAGCGGCCTCTTTAGTGGGGAGTCGGTCGCAAAGTTAATCTCGGCCTTTCTACGGTCACCGAATCGAGGTCGCTTGAGTCTGGTTGCCAGCGGAATATGTCATAATTGCACAGCGGCGTATCGATTCGTTTGT